AAAAATCGTGTCTCAGTAGTTCCGCTAGAAAGAAAGAGGACCGCGTACATGCTCACTGGGCTCCCCTCTAGTACCAACAGCCTCGTGAGAGTGTTTAAGAGAGGACGCGAGCTGAGAGAAATCTATATATGATATATATATATATATATATATATATATATATATATATATACTGAAAGGTGACTGACTGACATAGTGATCTATCAACGCACAGCCCAAACCACTGGACGGATCGGCCTGATATTTGGCATGCAGGTAGATGTTATGACGTAGGTATCCGCTAAGAAAGGATTTTGATCAATTCTACCCCCAAAGGGATAAAATAAAATAGGGAATGAAAGTTTGTATGAAACTTTGTCAATTTTAAACCGATCGAGCTGAGACTTTGCATGCAGGTATAAGAAGAATCATAGATGAATGTCATTGTGTGTAATACAAGCCTGAGAACAAAAACTGTAGTCTACACTTCAGCTCTACACCGAAACTAAGCGAGGGCGGGCCGCTAGTTCAGAAATAGGTATTTGAAAAAACTACTGCTGCCGAGCATTTTAAAATTGAAAAAGTTGCGTATAAAAATTGCAAAATTCGAGGAGGGCCAAACTCTTGACGATTACCTCCTCGACAATTGGTATAAGTAAAAGAAATTTTACACAAAGAATAATAAGTAGTTATACTATGCCGCTATGTTTTGATTTGTTTGTAAATGCTCACTAAATCTTCACACTAGACGTCTTTACTGGTGATAAAAAAATTGTTGTTTTTGCCTCGTTCGAGGGCTTCTAGTTTCTTTGAAACATAAGTTATCGAAAAAAGGAAGACACAGTAACATAGAATTAATTCTTTAGCGATAAAAATCAAAGAGGAATCTGTCGCAAACGGTTGTATGCAAAATCAACAAACATAGCGCGCCTCCGTTCTTAATGACCGGTTGGGCACTTCTCTACTTTCTCTCTTCTCTTCTCTTCTCTTCTGTTATCTTCATTAAACGAATATATAGTATATAAGTATATCTAATGTTACTAACACTATGGAACCTAATTCTGAAATAAATGAGTTGAATTGAAATGGAGGATCGCTTGACGCAGTTCTTGTTAAAAAACATAAAATACATAGATAAGTAACAAATGAGTAATCAAGTATATTGGAGATTTGGTGATTTTGTGTTTTAGTTATTCAAAATTACAGAAACAGCATTCATACACGACTATTACTTTGAGTTAGCAGAATCGACACCCTGGAGCGGTGCAGCATTTTTAGCTACTCTTTGAATCCAGGCTCAGAATAAAAGAAAATACGCGACTCCAACATATTTATTTATGTTTAAAGTTGTATGTTTTAGTTTGTATGTTGCTTTCGACATTTAAAGTGTCTGGCAATCAGTGTTGCCAGTTTTTTTTTTTTTGCCTTGTGGGGATTTAGGAGGTTTTTGAGTGAAAAAGCGGGATTCTTTCATCGAATGCGGGACATAGTAAAAAAAACGTATATAATCAAAAGTTATTGAATATTTATCTATATTATTTATTATTGCTTCACTTAACATCAGGTGGGGTGGTGTCATTTGTCGGACCTAACTGTAAAAAAAAAAATATATCATCCCCCTCTCAGGGTATGATCGCTTCAGATGAAGCTTGTAAGGCCCTTCTGGCCATAAGCATGATTAACAGTGGTTTTTTAGTTAGTAAGAGTCTGACATAACCCTACAACCGGCTGTAGGGTATCCATGAGGATTTCTCACCCGCTCCCCCGCCTGGAAGGAAACCAAAAAAAAACAAAAAAAAATATTTATCTTCATTACGCGCCGGGCAGGCGGACAGGCCACACTTGTCTCGCCGCACTCTGATTGCGGCGCTCGGCGGTGGAGACCTCTCGTTGCCAAGCATGGATAGAGCCATGCTTGGTAGCGAGCGGGCCTGGAAGGCTGCCGCCTCCTTCTGCGAATCGGTGATGACGCAGAAGGAGGCCGCGGAGAGGAAGCGGGAGGAGAACGCTCTAGCCGCTCCCCTCCGACGTAGACGGGTGGGCCGAAGAAGGCAGGCAGCCGTAACTGCCGGTCTTCGTCGGCCCTAAGGTGGTCTGGGCGCGGCTCGGCCGCCGTCTGCCCTTGGTGCCATTCGGCATAGGCCAACCCTTCTGGGGATTGCCTAGTACCCTAGCGCAATCCCCCAGAGGCGTGTCGCCCGGTCCACTCGTTGGACCGGGCCGGCCCGGGGGCGTTCCAGTGAAGTGGCGCACACACAGGTGCGCCGATCCTGAAACGCTCCCACATGGGCGTAGGAGGGTACCGGTGGGTTTTAGTGGGTAGGTGGGAGTCCCACACATGTCCAACCGCGCGTCCAGCCAGCGCGCGGTACGGTCCGTAAATGGATATCCCATCGACAAAAAAAGAAAGGCCACACTTGTCTGTGCCACCCGTCCTCGCTTTCTGAATACGCTGCACGCACGGTTGAATTATTCCCGAAATTCAGGATTGATTCTGTCCCGCGCGGAGCACTAAATTTTGATTAAAAAATCGGGACATCTGGCAACGCTGCTGGCAATAAATACTGCGGACAGAACGTGATTGGCAGTATTAAATTCAAATTGTTTACAATAGTCTCTACAACATACATAAAAGTCAGTTCTCTCGCTGTAAGTAAAATGATTAAATTTTACGCACCCGTGCCACCTCTGCCCCTAGCACGAACCATTTTCGATTTCGAATAGTTTGCGAATGCAAAATGTCAATGTCAAAGGAGATTGCTTAGCTTCCATACATGTTTGGCCTAAAGACCAATAATCATAAAAAATTGTTTCCTAGATTCCAAATTATATATAAATTACTGTAGAAACGAATATTATTGACGGACATCCCTGAGAACTTTTATAAACAATATACACTAAATGATTTTAAGGTTATGTTTGCAAATAGGTACATAGATATTAAAATAATACAAATATGTTCTATAGTAAACTAGGGAAATCAAGCCAAGTACCGAAATTATGTATTAGATTCAGATATATAGAGCATGTAGATTAACAGATAGGTAGTTGCCTGTTTTTAAAGTTAATGCACAAGAGTAACTTTAAAACTCAGGTATCATCTATGCATTTCCGGTTATAATAAGGTTGTACTCTGTGACAGAAACTGTGTGATGATTGTGAATGAGCCACAGATTAAAGATAGAATTTTTAAACTCTCGTTAACCAAGGAAAGCTAAGAGATTTAGGTTATATAGCCATATCTTCAGTAGTTTCATTATTTTTCATGTTTATATTATAACCATATTTAAGATTTTTAGTGTATCACACCTTATAATGTGTTTATGGAGATGTTTGACGAAAAATGTATGGCAATAGACTTTTATGATGTCGCCTACCATCTATAATGATTGTTTTAGCACATTTGCATGTAGTGAAAATGATAATATAGTTGTGAATATGAATACCACAGTGTAAAAAAAAATGTATTATTTTATCGATCTTTACATTTGATTTGTTTTGATGTTATTTATAAAACTTCGATCAGTCTTTGGCTGAATGTTACTGTGTAGTAACATTCAGCCAAAGACTGATGTCCATAGCCTATGGGTGTCCATAGCCATTAAAAATGATTCGTATGTTTTCCAAACCGGTAATAATAAAAGTCCTTTTTAAAATGAATACATTATACAAAGGTGTCTGTTAAAATCTAATGACTGTAAAATAAAGTATAAATTACGCCAAGAATTACCGTATATGTTAATATTTTTTGTACATTTGGGCCAATTTGAGCAATCTCCTTTGTATGGAAACTTGAACAGCAGCGCCACAACGGACGCAACTAGAACTAAAAATCAGTTCAAATTCTTATAATAACATTTCGGACTCGCAAACGTTACGAATTCGATATTGGTTCGTGTTAAGGGTACTGATGATTGTCATGGTACACACTAATACCACTCGATTCATATTTTATGCATCAGGAAATAAGTAAGGTCTGGCGTCCTTGGGATCTTACTCTATATGCTTCTTCAGATATGGCTGCCAGAAGTCAACAACATTATAAATACTCTTAAACTACCAACTACAAAACCTAATTGGAAAACAACTAACACAAACATGGTGTACTGAACGTCTATTTCCTGCGTTCTACGTAAATATGCAGAGCAAAATATGTATAGACTGTTAAACACTATACCCTGTCTGCGCGTCGCGCTTCGCGCTCTTTCATTGCACAGTCGGGTAAAAAGTCCTCTTTCTAAATAAATAAATAACATATTCCTAACACACACACCAATTAGCCTAGCCTCAAAGTAAGCTCTGTGAGACCTTAGTCATAGTTTACTTTTTGACAAATCGACTGTTTTTATGACCCTAAATCAAATTTCCTCATGTTTCTTCCAGTGACATCACTGGCAAAAGTACTGGAGAAATATGAGCCTACAACTAAATTAACGTACCAATACAAAATAATAATTTTTCCGCAATACATACTTGAAAGATATACTTTATAACAGGTAAAACAGTATTTATATATTGACTAGCGGCCCGCCCTCGCTTCGCTTCGGTGTAGAGCTGAAGTGTAGACTACAGTTTTTGTTCTCAGGCTTGTATTGTACACAATGACATTCATCTATGATTCTTCTTATACCTGCTTGCAAAGTCTCAGACCGATCGGTTTAAAATTGACAAAGTTTCATACAAACTTTCATTCCCAATTTTATCCCCTTGGGGGTACAATTGATCAAAATCCTTTCATGTATGTTATGTCTACGTCATAACATCTACCTGCATGCCAAATTTCAGCCCGATCCGTCCAGTGGTTTGGGCTGTGCGTCGAGAGATCACTATGTCAGTCAGTCGCCTTTGAGTTTTATAAATAAAAGTTTAGAAACTTGCACTTGAACTGAGCACAAATATTATCACAAAAAGGAAATCTGTAAGTTAAAACGTATTCAAACTTTATCATCAATATAACCATTTTAGGATGGTTTTATTTACCTTATAAAAGTTGTAAACTTAATGATAATTCATTTATTTACCTGTTACTACGGCTGTTAACAACAACACAACACATAGAGTCCATTTGACACATGATTCCATATTGGAAGTTGGCACACAACTTGTTTACCATGTATAATACGTTATTTTAACTAAAATGTTGATTATTGATAATACTGGCACTGATACACACGGCCACACTGCACTGTTATATTAAATTAATGATTGAGTTTCCTCAAAGATTCAACTGGTTATTTTAAAACTGGTTTTCCTCTTAACTTGATGATAGAACTTACTCCTTAAAATGCAAAAAAACAAACGCCAACATTTACTGATGATAAAAATATAACACAGGTCAGTGAATCTTACTGATATCATTAATGTGAAAGTTTGCGTATTTATAAGTTTGTTACTCAATAAAGCAAAAACTGCTGTACCGATTTCGATCGAATTTGAAACACAGACCTCTTATAAACCTCGATAGTGACATGGGGTACTCTTTATCCACGAAAATTTGGACTACCTACTGAACATAATGGTCCACGGTTAGATTTTTCGTGGACGAGGCAGCCGTCTAACTGAACTAACTACGCATTATTTTATTGAGATCCCAAATGACGAGTCATGATTTATATTTCTGTTAAAATGGGTGGTAAACAAGCCGCGATAGCCTACAGACGTTTGCGATATCAAAAACAACACTCGCGCCGTTTCCTAACCTTTTTTTTAACCCTGAGAAATGCGTTACGCATACCCCACTACGTGGGTGTCGGGTTATGTGGGACTCCTCCCTCCACCTCCCGCCCACCTCAGCCAACCCTAGGGCTGAATAAGTGGCTGCTCGGGATGGAGGGGGCCCTACCTCTGAATGTACCCTCCTTGCCAGCGGTGGCGGCGTGGGATCCTTATTGGGAATCAACCAAGCCGCCGCCGGCCGGCCCGGCTTTTATCCAGGCCACCTCACGATCGGGGGATTCCCAGGCACATGGTGGGAATCCCCCGCAGACTATTTTTGTTCGCTGTTTGTGTTCGCTTATACAATAAAATCCTAGGCAATATCCAAGCGTTAAGCATAAATAAATTCAAAGATAGTATAAAAAAGCACTTATTAAAAAAGCTTATTACAAAGTGTCTGATTATATTACAGACAAAAATGCTTGGGTTTGAACTGTTCCAATCATTCCAACAGGTTTTCTATATTAAATAAATCATGATTGTTTTGACGTTGTAACAACATAATGATTTGTAAATGTTGTTACATTATGCTTTTAATGTTGTGGAGTTTTTTTCGCTCGTTTTTCTCCGCAGCTAAAAAATATGTGTAATAACGAGTGGTAGGGAAAAAAAATTTTGGACAATTCAGAAGTGTTGTACTATACATCCAATTTGAATAAAGATATATTGATTTCTGATTTCTGATTACTGCGGTGCCGTGTAATGCATGCGCGGGTTACCCTACCCACGCCCGCTGGCCCCGATTCGAGGTAGAAGACTGCGGACGTATCCCCGCATCAGTGTTGCCACCTTGGATTTTTTTAAGGCGCCAAGTCAAAGGTAAATAATCGCCAGATTTCAAAAATTTGGATTTAATAAAATACACCAAAATCTGCTAAATTACAATTACATCTCTGATAACAAAAAACCCTAATTTAAATAAAAAACCAGTGAATATGTATGAGATGCTACAGAAATAACTGTGAGTAACCACATAGAACATTATGAAATTTCGGAAAGTTAGGGCATTTCCCCCTTAAAAATATGTTGCTAGATTTCATGTTAAAAAACCACTAAAAAAATTTACCCGCTAGATGATGAAAATATACTAGAAGCCGTGAAAAAGCACCAGTTCTGGTGGAAAAACCACCAAGGTGGCAACACTGCCCCGCATCCTTCATCCCCTTCGACTGCGTCAGATTGGGTCCTCCTGAGCTTCTTGTTCGCGATATCACCTCTTCGCAAAAGGAGGAGAACCGTTGCCTACCCTGACCTTCCAAAAAAATTTATTTGTACCTATGTATAAACAAATAAGACCTATGTATAATTTAGCGAATAACGAATCACTGTTTACCATAAGGAGGAGCTCGATGGCGCAAGTGGTTAGCGCGTCCGGCTGCGATCGTGGAAGTTAAGCAACTTTCTCAGTGGTCGGTCATTGGATTGGTGACCAAAAATTTACTATCTCGAGCTCCTCCGTGCTTCGGAAAGCACGTTAAGCCGGTGGTCCCGGCTGCATCTGCAGTCGTAAGCACCCACCAATCCGCACTGGGCCCGTTTGGTGGGTCATGGCCCAATCTCCCTATTCCATCCATAAAGAAGGCCTGTGTCCCAGCAGTTGGGACATTAATAGGCTGATGATGATGATGATATTAAAAATTACATATTAAACATAAATATATCCTGTCGTGAGCTTAATTGTAGCAGTATTAAAGATTTGCATTTCCACTATAGGTACATTATATTCATGTAACTTTTATTGTTTTTGCAGTGCAGGCCAAAATGACTCGCAGATGGGAGATTATTTCCGTCTTACGTGACATTTGTAGTTATATTTTGGCCAATACACTCAATTAGCTACATAAATTATTATTTATATGTTATTATTATGTATGTGCTATATTATTGTTAGGTTTCATTCAAATCCATTCAGTATTTTTTGGGTGAAAGAGTAACAAAGATCTGTACAAACCTACTATTGAAATTAAAAGCGAGATGGTAAATATACAAATTTAAATCGTTGTAGATCCTTAACAGTCATATAAAATGAAAAATGGTGTACGAAACCTAAACATAATTTTCGATTATCTAAACAACGATACCCCATTCGACATATTTCGTCAACTTATTTTTTTTCTATCTCAATTGCCTAATTGTATCCATATTGAATTTGGATTACTATCTTTAGTAGCACTTCCATGATTAAGACGAATCGATTGTCGTATGAATCATCAAAATCGGCCCATGCGTTTGATCTCTAGTGTGCCACAAAGGAACGTACAAACATATAGAGACTGAACTATACCCTGTCAGCGCATCGCGCTTCGCACTCTTGCATTGCGCAGTCGGGTAAAAAGTATCCATTCTTCTATCTTTACATTTCTTCTTTATTGTAGCTGAGCTCGTTATATTATAGCTAGCTGTGTTAGATACTAAAAGTGAAACGTATCTAAATTGTAATCCGGATTTTCATCGATCCGTCATAATATACGATGTGACTTCCATTTGTTCCAGAATGTTTAATAGCGAAATCTACAATTCATCAGTGATATGGACTAACTTGTTGTTGACTGTTGTCTAACTTCAGGTTTAGAGAATCATGCCAGAATCGACACCAATGTTGACAATGGCTGTATAAATATAAATGTTATGAATCAATCAATCAATCAATCAAAATCCTTTATTCAGTTTAGGCTGTTACAAGCACATATGAATGTCTAGAAGCTACGCCATCGGTTCGTAAATCTACGGCGGGAGACCTTGTACTGAGAAGAACCGGCAAGAAACTCAGCAAGGGCTGTTTTTTTCTCCCTGTTTTATCATTTACAGAGTCGTCAAGTTGAAAAATGACTTCAGAGATGATTCATGAAGTCACCCTTCATTACATAATGTGAAATTATACATTAATTGTACACCTGCATTTTGATTGCTGTGTCACACAGTATAAATACAAACAGAGTTATTTATAATAGGTGTAATTAAACATTTATATCTTAAATATCAAAGTAGTTAGGGCAGACTCATCTCCGCTGGCAGCACCCGTTCACGAGCATGACGCATGAACCAGCCATCGCTTCGCTCAACCATATTTTAGGGAACGTAACGACCCGCCTCACACGACACCACCGAAGAGACTTTTAAGAGAGCATGACTACCCATAACCACCTATATCAACCACAACATATTTACTTAAACTTAAAGTCATTTATCTGTAGGACACTGCAAACAATTACAAAGCAAAAACAATGGAGAAATCATGACCACGCCGTTTTGTCATTCAAATCTTCTTAAATAGTCTGATATTCTTCCTTACGTAATCAGCTTTAAATACAGCTTTTCAATAAAAGTATCATCAACACATGATCCATAATATATATCATATAGAAATACCCGTTGGAATGGTTGGAACAGTTCAAACCCAAGCATTTTTGTCTGTAATATAATCAGACACTTTATAATAAGCATTCTTAATAAGAGTTTTTTTAATAGTCGATTTAAATTTAGTCAGGCTCAACTCTTGAATATTGCTTGGGACTTTATTGTAAAAGCGAACACAGAGGCCTCTAAACGAGTTATTAATTTTGTGGAGCCTAGTAGCAGGTAAAGTTAACTTATTTTTACTTCTAGTATTAAGTGTATGTATTTCACTATTTTTAGTAAATAAACTAATATTTTTTTTGACATATACTAAGTCTTCATATATGTATTGTGATGCAACCGTCATTATGCCTATTTCTTTAAACTTATTTCTTAAAGAGTCCTTAACTTTAAGATTATAAATTGATCGAATAGCCCGCTTCTGCAACACAAATATTGTTTGAATATTGGCGGCATTTCCTATGAAAATGGCACTATGAAAATAACTAAAATAGACTAATCTGGCAGTTTCTATATCCGTTAACTGACGTATTTTCATTACAGCATATGCTGCAGAGCTAAGTCTCTTCGACAATTTATCAATATGTGGGCCCCATTGCAACTTTGAATCTAGTGTGATTCCTAAGAACACTGTGGTATCTACAAGGCTCACATTTCGATCCTTTATATTTACATTCGTTTTTACCTGTTTAACATTAGGTAAAACAAATTTCAAACACTTAGTTTTCCCTTCATTTAGCAGTAAATTATTAACGTTAAACCAGTGGACTACCTTAGAAATAGACTTGTTCACGTCGTCAATTTGCGACTGCCTACGTTTAATTTTAAACAAAAGTGAAGTGTCATCCGCAAACAATACTATTTCATGGTTATCCTTTACAAAATAAGGCAAATCATTGATATAAATTAAAAATAAGAAAGGACCAAGGATTGAGCCCTGCGGAACTCCCATCTTAACCGACGAACCAGGAGATTTTTCTCCATTGATGTCAACCCTCTGAACCCTATCACTCAAATATGATACAATAAGATCCAGAGTGGTGTCTCTAAATCCATAGTGCTGTAGTTTCCTGATCAATGTTTCATGAAAAACGCAATCGAATGCCTTTGATAAGTCGCAAAACACACCAAGTGCATCATGCGAGTTCTCCCAGGCATCAAAAATTTGCTGTACAAGCTCAACACCGGCATCGGTTGTTGAGCGACCCCTTATGAAACCAAATTGTTTACTATGCTGTATGCTATGTTGTAATAGAGTATAATAGAGAATTAAAAAACAAATCAAAAGATCGAAAAAAACGCGCGTAAAGTTTGACTTTGACACATAGACCATAACTTTAATGTAAGGAATATTTAGAAAAATCGGATATTTAAAATTGTAAAATTCATAACAGAAACTGCCCGTTTATACTATACCTTAAAATCTATCCGTAAATAATGATAATCAAGAAACTGTACACGTTAGTTTTCATAAGAACAGAAACACAAATTCTTTTGGGTTTCAAAAAACGTGGATTTGGTGTGAACAAGTGGAACGGTTTTGGTGGTAAAGTTGAACCAAATGAATTAATTATTGACGCTGCGACTCGCGAGCTAAAGGAAGAATCTTGTGTAAATGTAAAATCTACTGAATTGAAGAACATTGGCCATTTGGAATTCACCTTTGAAGGAGATCCTGTAATGATGGTTGTAAGAGTTTTTTCCACTACAGTTTATGATGGTTTCCCCGCAGAAACCGAGGAGATGAGGCCGAAATGGTTTGATAATGACCAAATACCTTTCAGCAACATGTGGCCTGATGCTCAGACCAAATAAAAAGTAAAGACGGAGTCTGCCGAACCAAAAAGTGAAGCCGGTTTTTTATGTATGTAGTGCATTAGCCAGTGTTACCATAGTCATATAAAACACCCCAATATTAGAAAAATGTAATAACGTTATTCCATAACGTTATTAATAACGTTATAAAATATTAGAAAAAATATCGTAAGCTTATTCTCTAAACCTCTCGTGAGCCAAAGGTCATACGCCGTTCTCACCTACAAGTGCCGGACTTCTTTATGGACCGCCCGCCCGTGGGTGGGAACGATTGCATTGTTCTGCCGATTTCTCTGTTATTTTGTAAAAATACCCTTCACAAACGTATATTTGGATTCTCCATAAAATTTTCAATAAAACAGTGTGTACACAATGCATCATGTCTATAATTTATTTTAATTACATTATGGTAAACTCAGGAAAGATAAAAAAAGTCGTTTAAATAGGTAAAATGAGGTATATTTTCAAAATTTGTAAATTAATAATCCAGGTTTTTGTACATATAGAATGTACTATATATAAATGAATGTATATAATAACTTACCAAATATAATTATAAAATATAACACGCAACAGAAAAAAAAGGGTCGTGTTTCAAGTGTTGATAAAAACAAATGCGAGATCCAAGTGCCTTGATTTGTGTGTTGACGTTTAATTATGTTGGATTGTTTATTTTACTTTAGTTACAAGTCTCGGATGGAATAGGTTTGTTCATTTTATAGTTTCAAGCACTCGCAACAAGGCACTTGAAATCGCTACCAAATCAGTCATCTCAACTTTATGTCGATAAAACGAAAAGCATATACAAATGTTGATAAACGGTTTCTTTTATTAAAATGTACATGAAATTTTCTATAGAATACACAAAATATAATCACTAGTTCCTATACAAGAACATAATAAAATAAATCCACAAACATCGCGAATTTTGGGTCAAAAAGGCCATTAAAAAGTAGATGCATCTTAAAACGGTGTGCACATTAGATGAGGCATTTTTCTAGTGTGCACAGTTGCGGTCAAGGTTGAGTTTAAAATTAGCTAAGTACCAAATTAACATTATTTTTACTATTGTACTAATACTTTTAATGAACAATGATACTTAATTCAAGTAAGTTCACTTTAATTTAGTAGCATAATACGGCAAAATGGGGAAACTGAATCAAGTAGTTCTACCACAACATGATAGATGGTGGGACTTGTACAAACAATAAGCAGTTAGCAAATAAATTATTGGAATCTTTAAAATATAAATTAATCTAAGTAACCATAATAATAGTAAAAAAAATACCTTTGGATATGCATTTTGTTTTACACGACGTAACCCTTTTGTTGTGTAGTACAAATCGTCGCTCTAAAAATGAGTCGAACAAACCACGCTGCGGGAAGCTGGTTGCCACAATGGTTCATTTCTACTCTTACGAATGACTGCAATCCGCTTCTCTTTTAGATCTTGATCTCGATTAGGAAATCTTAAAAAAATCGTATAATATATAATATGTATTACATCCCAAAAAATTTATACGAATACATAAAGAAAAAAGATGTTTCGTGTAATTGTTTATCCATGCATTACAATATTCGAATAATATAAAAGTATGCCACACAATGTATTTAAAAATAACGTTACGTTATATTTCACGCTACCCAACAAAAGGGTAAAACTGTAACGAATAATCATGGCAACATTTCGTTCAGGTTTTGTTTATAAAGCGACAACCTCAAATTTGATTTTGATTAATTGAAAATAGCAGTTTATAACTTTACTTACGTATGAAATGTGATTCCATCCTGTTTTTTATTCTTGGAAGATTGGTTTTTACACGTTTTCACTACACAATTCGGCATTTTCTCTAATAAATATTGTTATTTATTATTACGTCACACTCCGCGCGTCGGGATAGCTCGACTGAGAATCCAAGGCGTAGTTTCGTTGCATGTGTGTGCGTGTAACTGTGTATGTACACGGCGAGGCGTAGTTTTATCGGCTTCACTTTTTGGTTCGGCAGACTCTGTCTATACTTTTTATTTGGTCTGAGGCCTGATGATAAGTTATGGTTTCCATACATGCTCAAAGATAAGTTGTTTTATGGTAGGTTCCATTATCAAGGGTTTGATAAAATTCTCAATTATAATATTGAAGAATTGGAATCCATGGAAGAATTTTATAAAAAGAGAAATGAAGTAGCTTAAGATTAATTTTCAGTACATACCTCTATGTTTTATGATGTGATTTAAGAATCAAAAGTTCTAATTAGTACCACTCGGTAATTTGTTTACATTTTACTTTAAGAAAAAATATTATTAAACTATTATGTGATTCAACAAATGTAACAATACAAGTGATTATTATTAAAAATAATTACTAATCATTTCAAATGACGAGCAGTAATTATTGAACAAGTATTTTGTATGTCAGGTCATACAGCTTCAATAAATCATAAAAGTATGTTTTCTTGTAACTAAGGGCTGTGATTTCATAAAATAAAAGAAAATTTGCATTTCTGTAGTTTGATTTTTATGATTATCCCATAAATCAACCAGGGTATCAGCATCAGTTGTTATCAAGGCGAAAACATTACCAGTTATGCCATTTGTGGGACTATACCAGATTTGTCTATAGATACAAAAAACTAACAGTTACAATAAATAAAAATATAAAGTTTTGTGACCCCATAGGTGACCCACTCAAAAATTTCAGACTGCGACAACACCTACCCAGGTGCATGCCTATTCATTCTAGTTTAAAGTGTCAGATTACATACACTCAAAAACAGACATAGGCAAATCTGCTGTAGGTATAATGATAGTATTTGAATCGCGTTAGATCTTATGGGGAGAAACAGTATCCAGGAAGGGGTATTAAAAGCCTGCAGTATGTCTAAGTGTGGGTAGGCATAATGAATTCAAGTTATCCTGAGCACAGTCCCGGAAGTACAGTGTATGAAAAATTAATAGGCAGGCAACCATGCGGCAGTGAGCCAAGGTGTGAAGCTTGGCTTGCACCAATATATTGTTAATAGTGCTAGGCTCTGAGTTCAACTGAGTCCTGTGCAGCAAGTTGGTATTTTGCTGATCCATCCCCTAGTCTTTCCGCAACTCGACACCAGGTGCCTGTTTTGCATGAGGAATGGCATCAGTACTGCCATTCCATTTCCTCCAGAAAGCCCAGCAGTCCCCAGATGTTGCTGCAGGCTTCTACTAGTGTCCGTGGATTCCCCAGTAGAGAAGTCCGCTGTCTTGCAATGCCTCTACAATCCAGCAGAACATGGGGCGCTGATCCATCTCAAGTGACTGCAATACTCCATGCATGATCAGACCTGCGATCTGGAGGAGGAGCTCGATGGCGCAAGTGGTTAGCGCGTTCGGCTGCGGTCGTTGAAGTTAAGCAACTTCGCAGTGGTCGGTCATTGAATGGGTGGCCAAAAATTTACTGTCTCGAGCTCCTCTGTGCTTCGGAAGGCACGTTAAGCCGTTGGTCCCGGCTGCATCTGCAGTCGTTAGCACACCCGCCAATCCGCACTGGGCTCACGTGGTGGGTCATGGCCCAATCTCCCTATTCCATCCATAGGGAAGGCCTGTGCCCCAGCAGTGGGGACAATAATAGGCTGATGATGATGATCAGACCTGAGCTTTGTGAAGGGTAAAAACTGTCCAGGTTTGAAGTATCGCTTCGTCCTATTTAAGACGTCCATCTTTGTAGCTGCAGTTTGCGCCTTAGATTAAATGTTTACGCCATAGTTGATCATTGAGTCATTAGACTTATCTCGAAACTGTATCGATCACAGAGACAGTTGTACCTAGGGAAGTAGGAGTCATGTTGTAAGGATGTCAGGTTTTTTGCGGGGAACTAATATGCTTGTGTGTTGAAGGTAGGTAGAAGCTGACGAGATTACTCTTACCGCATTGGGAGAAGTACCAGCGTTCGTTCTATGCATTCCCGACCACTAGATATGACATATTGACTACCCAGACAAAAACTCGAATACAAAAGGGAAAAATAAAACAATGTTCATGGAAAAATATTCTCCTTATTTACTGATCAACTAAAAATATCCTTAGGCTTACATGAAAAATACAAACCATCCAACCTGATGTTACTTGCTCCTTTAGGAGTTAACAGGAATAACGAACATTTACAAAAACAGTAGTATTCTGATTTTAAACAACATTTTTGTTTAATCGGGTATTTGACAAATTTTAGAAAATGATCTCACGTTATTTACTAATGTTTATAGAGTCCATAAAAATTGTTATTGGATATAATTATCATTATGTTGTGTATTTCGGTAAAAAAAAAACAAATCAAAAACTTTATTTTCAAGTTGCCGCGAAAAACGTATCTCTGGACAATATGGCATCTCACTGGCGTGTGACGTCACACGACTGTCATTAAAACGTCAAACTATACAATCAAATGTCACTTTAACCGGAAGTTGACTTGCGTGTGACGTCATTTTAGGCTCCACCAATCAAAAGCGTTTTGGGTCACGTGACAATAGACAAGAAAACTATTATCTTTATCGTGGGTTTTTAGTAAAATTATGAATATTTTTTTCTGTAAAAATAGTAAAAACTCCTGCCAATATTCATTCTAAACACAGATGCTAACAATTGGTACTTTATTTTTAATACTGTCAAATACCCTATTAATTGTTCATGATGAAATCATTTAAAGTTTCACTTAGAAGTTCTCAAATATTTATATTGTATTCGCAGTTTAGCACTGACATTTTGTTCCGAATGTATTTCTATTCCAATCCATTGTTAGTTACTTCATTGTTCTAGTTAATCAATAAAATTTGCATGCATTGCCTGAGGTTACATTCCCATTCATTGAAAAAGGCTTGTTAGAATACAATCCAAATTAAGGAAACATATTGTGATTTTACCCGGTTCCACCATTAAACCGTTCTGTATGCAGTAGTACAAAAAAGAACTAAATACAATTCTACCAGCTAAACTATCCAATGGACAATGCATGGAAACTAAACAACGGACATTGTATTTAAACAGTCCCTTGTTAGGTAACCGTTCTGTATGCAGTAGTACAAAAAAGAACTAAATACAACGCTACCAGCTAAACTATCCAACGGGCAATGCATGGAAACTAAACAACAGACATTGCATTTAAACCGTCACATTGCATTTAATGTTATTATTCAGAGTTACTGTTATCTTCGTCCGCTAACGAAGCCCTGGCTAGATTCCGAACAGCAGCTAGCCGGAGGAGATCTGCTTTCTCCGCAGAAAGGTTGGAAGACTTCAACTCCAGACACAGCATGATCTCAATCGTGTCTTCGGAGGAGAAGATGAGTTCATCCGACTCCAGTAAGGGAAGTGTGTCCAGTAGAAGCGTCTCCCAAAAGCTAGAAAGACATAGTTGACATAAATACATTTTTATATTATCTATTGATGAGCACAAGAGCTTAGTTGTTCAGTCTGCGATTGTAGAAGTTAAATTACACAATTATTACAGATTGTAATAAAATAAGTAAAAAAAAATTGTGTGCACGGACCATACATCTGAGGTGAATCTTCGTTTCTTAAATAACCTTGCATTATGCGGTGCATAAGGCATAGGGGAATGGAGCAGCGCACGCATCACTCATATATAATATATATATATATGTCGGCGGATGGCGTCTCACTCGCTCCTTCGAAACGTTAAACCGACAACAAATGTCATCAGTCAAGAGTACCATTGCCTTGTGAAACGTCAAGTAATGACAGTGACAGCTGTCATCACTTGGGAGTGGTCTATACTAAGGGTAGTATTTAAGGGGCTATGCGTCATTGGAAGGGGCATTCGGCATTCAGACGTGAGCCGCGATAGTGAACGGACGTTAGCACAGAACTCTCCGCACTTCACAAAGCAATCCGTTTGTACCTTGACAATCATAACTGATTTTGTAAAGTAATAAGAAGATTCAAATTAAACGTTAGCTTGGTCACTAGACTACAGTTTTATTTTCGGGAAATATAACCAAGGGGTATAATTGAATAACCAAGATGGCGGATCAAGAAAAACCACGTGGCCAACCGCCTATATCCCGCTCGCCCATCCGATATATATATATATTGTAGCGTGTGACGCTCGTAGCGTTTCAGCCTTCGCCGAGTAACCCTCCAACTTTCATGCTCGTCGGGAAGAGGTGCCCACGCATCCCAGACACTTAATCATAATCATTTATTTCGTAATAAATTACACGTCAATAATAAACAGAATAGAAATACATAAAGTACTAAGTAATCATTCAATTAATTCAAAATGTCAAAATACAATTCACATGTCGGTTTCAAATTATATAAAAATACATTACGGAGTCAAAACAATTAAATTAAAAATATTTTTACTTAAATAAAGTTCAAAAAGTCAAATACAAATAACAATAATAATACAAAAAAATGGAATTAATAAATTAATAGTCATTCAATATTATAAAAAAAGTATTAATCAGTCCAATGAGGGCTATCGCTTATGAATCCGCCGCTAGAGGCGCTAGTGTAGCGTGAGGTCTCCGAAATGTCAAATGTTATTGCTTGTTGGTTGACTACGCGGGTTTATTTCTTATTAAAATAATGTTGTGAATAATTGATAACAATTCGGCTTAATTATGGCAAATATGAGTTATGTGGCAATGAATGTCAGTTATTATCATCGTGGTATCGATTCTGGCGTGATTCTCTAAACTTAAAACTAAATTTAACATCAGTCTCTCCTTGTCAATCTGCATAGAGAATGACAAGGATGCACTGTTGTCAAATTTAAGTTTAGCTTTAGAGAATCATGCCAGAATCGACATCAGTGATCATTTAGTTTAGTTTAATAAATCTAGATTCTAAATGATGTAGTCGAGATGTACTGAGGAGCTCAATGGCGCAAGTGGTTAGCGCGTTCGGCTGCGATCGTTGAAGTAAAGCAACTTTCGCAGTGGTCGGTCATTGGATGGGTGAAAAAGAAATTACTATCTCGAGCTCCGCCGTGCTTCGGAAGGCACGTTAAGCCGTTGGTTTCGGCTGTCGTTAGCATCCGCCAATCCGCACTAGGCCCGCGTCATTCCATGGCCCAATTTTTCCTATCTCATTATTCCATCCATAAGGAAGGCCTGTGCCCCACCAGTGGGGACATTAATAGGCTGGTGATGATGAAATGTTTGAAGATAATATACAAAAAAAAAATTACACTTACTAATCTGGAGCCAATTTGGAGGTTATCAATGAAACAAGCAATTTGCCAGCTTTCTTGAATTCTCTACTCTTGTACAGTCTGTGGAAGTCGCTGTATTTAACTGTAAAATTATGAAATAAACGACGATATAAAAATTTGCTTACGTTTTAAACATCATCATGAATGAGCCCATGAGAGGGTAGAAAAGTCTAAACTTTATCTAAATAAAAAACTCATTTAAAACGAAAGTTTTACTAAAAAAAAATTCCACGCCGACCAGGCAGCAAACAGGACTCGAACCCGCACCCTTAGCTATCCGGGCGAACGCACTGACCATTGTGCTGTCGCGGCTCTGATGGCAGTATCGAATTTTCTTTAGTATAACTCAAGCTGCAAGGCTGGCAATCTCCTCGCATTGTTATTAACCTACAATGTCAAATTTACGAAGGTTAAACATTTGAAAGAAGAAATAGCAATCTCTTATCTATTAGACAAGTCCGTCCGTCCGTCCGTCTGTGGTGCTGTTTCAGCGGCCAAACCGTAAGAGATAGATAAAGAGAATATTTAAGTTATAAGTTAAGAATAGTCTGATAAGACTACAAACCGGATTTGAGTAACGTAGCACTTCCGGTTTTCGAGAAATCACGAATTTCAAACGAAACCACACAAAATCTCCGAAGTTCTCAATTAATTAAATACATTTTTTTTTAAATCAGGTTTTGGTGAACATTTGGTTCACTGGTTTGCTAGTTATAGTTCTAATTTTTATTTTTAAGCATATAACTGCTCTATTTTTAAATCCAAATAAAATATTAATAGAAAAAAAACTTTTTTTTTTCTATTAATAGAAAAAATTTAAACGTTGAGCAGTTACATGCTTAAAAAAAGTTTTTTTTTTATTTATTTATTGATATTTTATACATACCGGCCAGCAGCAGCGGGTGGTGCGGCAACATGGCCGGCGTGGCGGTGAGCAGCGCGTCCTGCGCGGGCAGCTCCCCGCGCGCGGCATATTGCCGCAGTGCCGCGTGCGCGGCGCGTGTATACATACCGGCCAGCAGCAGCGGGTGGTGCGGCAACATGGCCGGCGTGGCGGTGAGCAGCGCGTCCTGCGCGGGCAGCTCCCCGCGCGCGGCATATTGCCGCAGTGCCGCGTGCGCGGCGCGTGTATACATACCGGCCAGCAGCAGCGGGTGGTGCGGCAACATGGCCGGCGTGGCGGTGAGCAGCGCGTCCTGCGCGGGCAGCTCCCCGCGCGCGGCATATTGCCGCAGTGCCGCGTGCGCGGCGCGTGTATACATACCGGCCAGCAGCAGCGGGTGGTGCGGCAACATGGCCGGCGTGGCGGTGAGCAGCGCGTCCTGCGCGGGCAGCTCCCCGCGCGCGGCATATTGCCGCAGTGCCGCGTGCGCGGCGCGTGTATACATACCGGCCAGCAGCAGCGGGTGGTGCGGCAACATGGCCGGCGTGGCGGTGAGCAGCGCGTCCTGCGCGGGCAGCTCCCCGCGCGCGGCATATTGCCGCAGTGCCGCGTGCGCGGCGCGGCCGCATGCGGCGCCGTGTTTCCCGCGCGTGCCCCAGGTGAGGGCGCCTCCTATCCTCCCGGCGCGCAGTAACCTCGAGCTCGCGCATGCGCACACCGTTCGCACTACGATACGACACGACACATACTATGACTCGTATGTAGTAAATATATGGCATACATACACAGAATTTCGATTCCTTAATTACAAACAGTTTTCATTTCGTATGTGGTTATATTAAGAATTATTAATGAGTATTACAGGCCATCAAAGCTCCGTGCTTCGGGAGGCACGTTAAGCCGTTGGCCCCCGCCCGTTAAGCATCTGCAGTCGTTAGCACCCACCGATCCGCACTGGGCCCGCGTGGTGGGTCATGGCCCAATCTACCTATTCCATCCATAGGGAAGGCCTGTGCCCCAGCAGTGAGGACATTAATAGACTGATAATGATGATGATTGCAGGCCAGGTTGACTACCTGAACCTACTTAGTTAGATGATTTTAGTGTGTGTGTGTAGACTGTAAAATAAATACTACCTAAACATAAACAAACACAAAAAATCCTTAAGTCGCTGGTTCAAATCCGACTCGAAGGACCATTTCATGTACTGTCCACCACGTAGTTGACATTGCAGAAGTACACTTGTAATATATTAGAAGTTTTAAGAGTACGCCAGTATTAAGATGACAAAGTAGTTAAATAAAATAGAAGGCTGTTGTTGTTACTATGTTTATTGCGATACTAATTACTATACTATAAAATTATTATAAGTAAACAAAGTTATGAGCGCAGCGGTGACGAGCTAAGTACGATGCAACGTAAACATTATATAATTCATAATAATCGTGTTTGTGTGTGTGTGCGTGTGGAAATTACATAAAATGTAAGTCGTATCTCAATATTTTAACTATAACTTTTTATTATTATTTTATTGGACACTTAAATGCTGTGTGTTTGAATCTGGGGAAACCCACACAGAAAGATGTTTTTTTTTAATTTAGTTTTCTTTTCTTTTGATTTAGACTTAAGCTATCTTAGAAAACTATGGTACTAGTTAAAAATAGCTTTAGAAGTTTATTTATGTTTATTGCTAACCAAGGTATTGTAACGTGTTAAAAACGTTACATGGATCTCCTTCGCTCGAAGAGCGAGATAGAAGATTTTTTTTGGTTGTCTCTCTGGTCGTTTTTATCTCGCGTCCATTTTCCTTAATCTGTGCACTTTTCATTAATATGTTTCTGCCCCTAAACAAGCAGTAAGCTGTATGGACGTTGTTCTCTTTGCCTTCCCGGCAAGAGAAAACAAACTTAAGAAAAAACTAATGTCACTTTACTTCACGACGTAATTTTTACGTAAAACATGTAAGAATCTTAATCGTAATTTAGAACTTGATAATCCATTGGATTGTCGATTGTTTTTAACGGTAAGTGTTTTTCCAAATTCGAAAAGTGTTTTAATTCATATATTTCAATGATTTACATGAGGATTGTTTTGTTTACAGGTGTAATATTTTACACCGTTTGCGCGGAATGGCGGCGACCTCATTCCAAGCTTAATTTGTTTGTAAAACGGTAAGAACCGTAGTGATTCCCTTATTTTTACATTTTTTCCTTTGTTGTGAGCCATGTGCTAATCTGAGGAATATTTATTTTCAGCGAAAAGCGTTTTTTTTATTAGGATTTTTTATCTGGATTTTTTCATTCAAACTTCAACATTTCCCATGATGTGGAGGTGAATCCCCGTGTTGTAACAACGGCCATCCCTTACATATTTGCAACACCAGACATATTTAACTCCAAAGATGTAACGAGGTCGGTAATCTTCTAAATTCATAATTGTGTTTCGGCCCCCATATTAAAGGTAACATTTTTACTTACATCTTGGTAGCTTTAGTATATAAAGTAGTTTCAAAATTTAGCAGTAACCCTTTTGGACAAATAATTCTGTAGCAAATTTAAATAAATTGACAACCCAAAATGAATATGGATTTGCATTAAACTCCTCTTGCGATTAAAAGTTCATTGCTTTCCCGGCTAATAATATGGTACAGTCCAGGCGCCCGAATATTCTTTTTTAATTGATTTCGGCCTGTCCATTCAAAAATTTATTATTTTTAACTATTACATTTGTCACCATTGCATTTTTTATTTTTTCTATTACAGTATACTGTAACATTTTTATGAATAAAATTCTATTCTAATCTATTCTATATGTTACGGTAAAGACGTACAGCTTATATTAGGTGGTTCTGCTCCTAGGATCCTATACATTTTAGAAATCAAAAATCAATATATCTTTATTCAAATTGGATGTATAGTACAACTCTTTTGAATTGTCCAAAATTTATATTCCCTACCTCGTTATGGACATATTTTTTAGCTGCGTAGAAAAACTCCACAACATTAAAAGTTTAATGTAACAACATTTATAAATCATTATGTTGTTACAACGTCAATTCAATTATGATTTATTTAATATAGAAAACCTGTTCGAATGATCGGAACAGTTCAAACCCAAGCATTTTTGTCTGTAATATAATCAAACACTTTGTAATAAGCTTTTTTAATAAGTGCTTTTTTTATACTATCTTTAAATTTATTTATGGTTAACTCTTGGATATTGTTTGGGACTTTATTGTATAAGCGAACACAAAGGCCCTTTTTTAGGTTACTAAATAACTACTCTATATCATTACATTTTTTTTTTAAGTTATAGATACAATTAAGCACTGTTATGTGTGTTTCTGATGTATTTAAGTCTGTGTATGTGTGGTTAGATGTGTGTGTTTGTAAAAATAGTACAAATAATTTCTCACCGACACCATTCAGGCCATACTTCTTGGCCTCAGCGATGACCCTCATCGCTTTAGCTTCAGTCTCAATGGGCATCCGTTCTAAAGCCAACTCCGCCCTCCTCAGCCCTTCTGGAGGGCACGAGCCCAGGTAAGACAGGCCCGCAGACCAGAGGGACTTGTGTTCCATTAGAAGACACCCGTATTCCAGGATCAGACTGTCTCGAAGACGGGCGGTGACACTGGGAAGAGAGTAGTTTTTGGAGTTTACTCCTTAAGAATCGATTTGCATATATAAGGGGCCCGGTATGAGAAAAATGTGAGGAGTAAAATCTATCGATGAATGACCTCGTTACGTTTTTGGTGCGCATCCTATGTCGCGCAACTTTGACAAACAAAGATGACGGATTGACATTAATCTTTTTTAAGTTAAATAAACTCTTTTTGCGTTTGGTTAGACTATCGAACTTAAGGAGTAAACTCCAGTCGTGAGTTGGAGCTGACACACACATTTTTTTTATAGACAACTCTAGCTACCGCTTGTCTAGTTATAAGGTGGATTCCCAGTGAGCTAGAGTCCCAGCGACTTAAAAATCAACAATAAAGTTGAGTTTTAAACATCCACATTTATCACATTAAAAAGTAGGACTTGAGACAGTAAGACACTTGGCTATTCGTTCTTGCTATTTGTAAACTTGGCATCAGTCTATCCTTGTCGACCGACGACCTTGACGACCTCCGTGGCCGAGTGGTTTGTACGCCGGGTTTAATGGTGTCGCCGACTCGAGAGGTCCCGGGTTCGAATCCCGGTGGGGGCAGATGTTTGTGTGATGAATACGTGCATTTGTACTCCAGTCATGGATGTTTAATATGTATTTCTATATAAATAAACTTATATATATATTCTATCCGTTACCCTAGCATCCCATAACACAAGCCTTACAGTGCTTACTATGGGGGCTAGGCTAATTGGTGTGAGTGTTGGAAATATTTATTACTAGCAAACCAGTGAACCAAATGTTCACCAAAACCTAATTTCTCGAAAACCGGAAGTGCTACGTTACTCAAATCCGGTTTGTAGTCTTATCAGACTATTCTTAACTTATAACTTAAATATTCTCTTTATCTATCTCTTACGGTTTGGCCGCTGAAACAGCACCACGGACAGACGGACTCGTCTAATAGATAAGAGATTATTATTGTCGTTTCTTTACATCCTGAAATGGGCAGACTGTTGTCAAATTTACAAATAGCAAATACAAATAACCAATTCAAGTATGAACTGTTGTACCAGCTATCTTCGCGTCTGGACTTCACCGTCACTTAACATCAGGTGGGGTGGAGAGGAGACATTTGTCGGACCTATCTATAGAAAAAAAATTCAAGCGCCGGCATTTTGATCACCACAAAGAATATTTTCTTTTCGTACCGCTTGCTCTAAAAAGTGACATTCTATGCCACAAAAAGCGAACATAACAATAGTCATTTTTAATCTGTTAAAAACAGGGAAAGAAAATTGTACTGAATTTCATTCATCCTCTAGGGGGAGAATGTGATTTAAAGGACACCCGGCATTTTGTGCCAAACTTGTATACTTTTTTAATTTTTTTATCTGTGTTTCATAATTTGGTAACGTAGTCTGGCAATATTTGTCATCAGCAGCTAGCTGTCAATGTCAAATACGTAGGGTTTGTCATCAAAAGGGTTTCTATATCAAAAAATATTAATCATTAAATAACTTCTTTCCAAGATTCACTAAAAATAAGGCAAACGTAGTTTTATATAGCAAATAATTTTGGCTTTATTTTGAGACCAAATTCAACTGTATACAAGTTTAGCATTTTTTCTATGAAAAGTGCCGGGTCTCCTTTGGAATACTTACCGAAATTTATACTGAACTACATCTGTGTCTACACCATTGAGTTTGTATATAAAGCATTATACATCTTTTTGAAAAAGGAATGCGCATTTAATGTGCAGTTATGATTATTAAATAAAATTACGAAAACCGACGAGGCCGTATTTAATTGGACCAATGTTTCGAATGTTAACTTTTAGTCATAGTCATAGTCATAATAGTCATAATATTTATTGCTTCATGTTGGTTACATTTCGTTCTTAAATTTAATAACAGCTCGCAAACATGAGCCCTGCAAGGGCATTGCAAATTATAACAAATGTGTACAAATATTAATTTAAAATTTGATAAAATTACAATAGGATAACAATTTAAGATAGATAGAAAATTTAAATAAGTTAATAAAAAAATAAAAAAAAATAAAATCAATTCTTATAATACTTAAAGCAATTATAAAATACATTTAGGGTTAGGTCAAGAGATGTATGTCAATCAAATCAAAAAATAACAAATTTACTTTTAATTGTCATTATCTATACTTATAATAAATCTGTAGAGATGTCAATTCTGTACATGAAATATATTTTTAAAATAACTATCAGGGGGTGATTAGTGATCGATACTGATGCCAAAAATGCAATCAGTAAAATTTTTGTCTGTCTGTCTGTCTGTGTGTATGTTCCTTATAGAAACAAAAACTACTCGACGGATTTTAACGAAACTGGGTACAATTATTCTTCATACTCCTGGGCAGGTTATAGTATACTTTTCATCACGCTACAATCAATAGGAGCAGAGTAGTGAAGGGAAATGTTGGGAAAACGGGAGAAGTTACTTCATTTTTTAAGCTTCCGTCGCGTGTGCAGCCTTAATGGTTAAAGTTACATAGAAATCATGTATGACGGAAATATTCTACATAAAATTGTCTAAAAAATATCCCGCAACAGCATATGTCTATCTTTTATGGTTGACTCACAATAACACGTGTAATTATATAAATAAAGTCATTATTTATTGCACAAGCCTGAGAACAAAAACTATAGTTTACACTACAGCTCTACACCGAAGCGAAGCGAGGGCGAGCCACTAGTTTTTAATAAATGCTTATCTCATATTATTATTGTGTTAATTTTTTCTCAAATGGTACGAAAAGTAGGGTACTTTCCTCGGTGATAAAGCTGTCTTAGTCTTGGGTGAACTTAAATCCCTCGCTACACTCAGGACTCGTGTTTTTAACACTCCCGCTGCGCTCGGGAATAAACCTCGAGTCCTTCGTTACGCTCGCGATTTAAATCGTCACCCACGACAGAAGACACTGCTTTATCCCCTTGGTTAATAATCTACTATTTATACGATGAATTGAAATTCCTTACTTGTTTTGATGTTTGTCTAATATCTTCAATTTTCCACAGTGGAACAGTATATCGGTGAGGTGGGTGGCAAACCAACCGTTATCTGATATTTGCTGTATTTCATGAATCACCTGAAATTCATGAACAGCATTAAGAATGATAAAGATTCACCGTAAGACACTATAGTTGAAACCATGGCAGTTAATGCAGATATAGAAGGAAAAATAATGTTATATATGCATAATAAGAAGAGAGGAGCTCAATGGCGCTAGTGGTTAGCGCGTTCGGCTGCGATCGTTGAGGTCAAGCAACTTTCGCAGTGGTCGGTCATTGGATGGGTGACCAAAAATTTACTAACTCGAGCTCCTCCGTGCTTCGGAAGGCAGGTTAAGCCTTTAGTCCCGGCTGCATCTTCAGTCGTTAGCACCCACTAATCCCCACTGGGCCCACGTGGTGGGTCATGGCCCAATCTCCCTATGCCATCCATAGGGGAGACCTGTGCCCCAGCAGTGGGGACATTAATAGGCTGATGATGATATATAAATATTAAGAAGAGAGGAGCTCAGTGGCGCAAACTTTCGCAGTGGTTGGTCATTGGATGGGTGACCAAAAATTTACTACCTCGAGCGCCTCCGTGCTTCGAAAGGCAGGTTAAGCCTTTAATCCCGGCTGCATCTGCAGTAGTTAGCACCCACCAATCCGCACAAGGTCCGCGTGGTGGGTCATGGCCTAATCTCCCTATTCCATCCATAGGGGAGGTCTGTGCCCCAGCAGGGGGGACATTAGTAGGCTGATGGTGATAAACAATAAGTCAGTAGTCTCTTCTGTTCATTACATAATTGAGCATGATGACAATATACTGCTGTCAAAATCAAATTAGTGTTTAAAAAAATGTTTTTAATAAACAGGGATGATGACTAATTTTTATTTCTTCGTTCATCAGGTAGATTATCAAAAAGTATTGGACACGTATTTTTTCTTTTTTCACATAATATAAACATTGCAGAGATATATATTGATTTGAAAAGTCGCATGACGTCACGTTTGAGTACACTTATAAGTGAAAATTCACTCAAAAGTGACGTCACGAGCCCCTACTCCCAAACTTTGACGCGCTATAACTTTGTCATTTTTTGGTTGATTGCCCAAAGAAAAAATACGTGTCCATTATTTTTTGATCATCTTGCTGACGGACTAAATAGAATTTCGTTTACTGTACCCCGTCATCATCCCTATTAAATGTGGTCAACAAAAGAGAGCTATCCTGACAGGTCGTTTCAATTCCTTATGTTTGCAGAATAAATAACTGTTGTGAGTGCACACATGTAACATACATACTCATCTCTCCAGTATAGATAGATAGATAAATCATTTATTCCCATCAGTACAGCACACAAATTCAAGTAAAAAAATTGTACAATTAATTACTAGGTATGTAACTGTGTGCCGCAACAACAGAAAAAGGCAAAAACTCAGCGATACCTTTGCTCTAAGAGCAAAGCACTGGTTTTCAGTTCTGCCTAGAAAGCGCGTAACGTGAAACGACATCGACGTGACGTCGTAAGGCATTGTAAATCTAATTAAAGGAGTTCATAATTTACAGTCACATCTATTATTTATTTGTATTCATACTGTATGACACAGCAATCGAAATGCAGGTAAACAATTAATGTATATTTTAACATTATGTAATGAAAGGTGACTTAATGAAGCATCTCTGAAGTCATTTTTCAACTTGACGACTCTGTTAATAATAAAACAGGGAGAAAAAAACAGCCCTTGCTGAGTTTCTTACAAGGTATCCCTTCCGCCGTAGATTTACGAACCGATGGCGTAGCTTCTAGGCATTCATGAGTGCTTGTACACCCTAAACTGAAAAAGTCCTTATGATTATTGTCCCAGACAGTGATAACGTGTCGTTCGCTGTTTTGGTCGGGGCAGTTTTGTGGTGCTTTTTGCTTCAGTTCGTTTGAGCCCAAGCATGCCTCTATAGCTCTATGGGGGCCTCGAGTTAGGCTCCGCGGGGGTGAGGTACTATTCGAGGGGAAGGGCGGAGCAGGGGAGAATCGAAGGGAACCCTCGCCTCAACCTCACCACACATCGTAAAACGTTGAACTAACGTGATATGACATCAAATAACGTGACTCGTGACATGACGTCACACTTTGTAGTGCGTGCAAAAAGAAGTCCGAAAATAAACTCTAATTCTATCTCTATAAAGAACACCATGAATTGACACGACCTGTCAGTATAGGATTCGTATATTGGCCGCACTGTAGAGTGGTTAACACACCTGATGCAAATCCCCGTCCAGTAGTGCTCGCACCATCTGATCCAGGTGAGTCCTAGGCGCGTGCGTGGGAGTCGCCATGCCAGCGCACGCGGCCGCCGGCGCTCCCAGCTCGTGCCGACGCGTCCAAGGGGCAGTAAACATCACCCAACCACCCAGCAGGTCGAACCAGGACGAGTATGAACCCCGGATGGACTCGAATGCCGCGTAATCGCCTATTATCAACTGTACGCGAGTACAGAACATCGTCATGTTGAGCCAAAGAGCAACACGGAAAGAAGTATGCCATAGAGACGTAATAGTATTTAAATCGTTCTGCCATTTACTGGGGGTTTAATTATAATTATATCCTTATTTCTGATTCTATCAATTAGAAAAATACGGAGCATCCCTCCCTCCTATGCTCACTGTGCAACATTGAACCTATTGTTAAGATTCCATATGCTGACGACACACGCAGGTAAAAAGCTTGTCTTTATTATTTAGTAGTTTTACGTAGTTCGAATGCTGCGCACCCAAGCTACATTCAATTAGAGATCTTGTATAACTACTGGCCAACAACTTTAAAAGTGTAGTCCTCCCAATTGTAACTGATGTGGGTACACATATTTTAGTCTTATCCATATTCATATCTCTTTGGAAAGCACTACTAATATCTTCGAGCAATGTTTTCAGAAAGGTCCTCAGGAGGAGCTCGATGGCGCAGGTGGCTAGCGCGTTCGGCTGCGATCGTTGAAGTTAAGCAACTTTCGCAGTGGTCGGTCATTGGATGGGTGACCAAAAATTTACTATCTCGAGCTCCTCCGTGCTTCGGAAGGCACGTTAAGCCGTTGGTCCCGGCTGCATTTGCAGTCGTGAGCACCCACCAATCCGCACTGGGCCCGCGTGGTGGGTCATGGCCCAATCTCCCTATTCCATCCATAGGGAAGGCCTGTGCCCCAGCAGTGGGGACATTAATAGGCTGATGATGATGATGATGTTTTCAGATCTTCCAAGGTCTCAGCTTTAATAGAAATACGTCACCTGTGAAAATTTCAACTGTCTGACTATCTCAGTTCATGAGATACAGCCTGGTGACACACAGACAGACGGACACACTAACAGATACACTGCCAGATGGACGGTAAAGTCTCATTTTTACCCTTTGGGTAATCAGAACTCTAAAAGTGACCCACTTTGGCCGTTTAAGACATCAGAGTTACATGAATACTTACTTTCATAATGAGTTCTAGCTTAGGCTGAGAAGTTAAAACTCGACTGGTAATCTTGGAACGGCATTCTGCCTGCCAGTGTTTCCAAGATATTGTGAACTCCCCTGTTGATATTCCACCATACACCTAGAACATTTATTATATTATTCATTTTTATTTATTATTAAGATTTATTGGCGTTTATTAAATTTATTCAAGAAAAAAATATTTAGAATAACACAGTAGGTGTATTTTAGAATTATATTTATGTTCATTTTATGTATAAGCTTATTCATTTCATTGAAAATAATGAACAATTTAGCCTGGAATGTCAGTACATGTGAAAAGTAGGTAACTAGTATAAATTTAATTAGGTATAAAGTGATATTTTTATCGAGATTGTTACCATGTATCTTGATTTGTATCTATTACTAGATATTTCAGCATTGTTGCAAGCACCATATCATGGTGTATTCACGGAATATTTATGAGCCTCTGATATTTCAGAAGTTACTCTGTGATCATGGTGCTTGCAACAGTGCCTCATCAAAAACAAGTTAATGATAACAATCCTGTTAATAGCTATAATGTTAGTAACCATGAAAATTTAAAACAATACAAAGTTAAATTATATTAAAGAAAATATGACCAGAAAAAATTCCACGCGGACCAGGCAGCAGACGGGACCCGAACCCGCACCCCTCGCAATCCGGGCGAATGCACTGACCAATTATGCTACCGCGGCCCTCACGGACTGCGTCGAAATTCCTCTAGCCATTCTTAAGCTGCAAGGCAGCGCCATCTCTTCGCATTATAGGTAACCCACCCATTATAGGTAAATTATATTACAAAAATAATAAAACTTGCATTATGGTCCCATAAAACCACATGGCTTTTTTTTTAAAGACACAAATAGTAGTTTAATTATAGAAATATTGATTTACTTACACTATAAACGGGCATGCTCCTCAATGAGTTATCTACTAGTTTAAATTCATTGGAGTCCACTGAAGAATGTAATTTCATTAAAGCTCTTGCTACATCTACTCTCCCTTGCACTATCATTCCTATCACTGTGTCCCAATACTCAGGGTGGTCCTCCGAGCCACGTTCACATGCCTCCAGCATCTGGGCTGCTGTCTGTTCATGGCAAGGGAAGTGAAATCTCACCCATTCTAGCAGAAAAGGCAACACAACATCCCCAGGAATGTTATCAATGTACAAAATCTCACACAGGTGCCAAATACATTCTACAGAGTAAAAAATTGTGATGTAGGACAATAAGTTGCACTTTTTAACACCGTCTTGCTCCATCGCTGCCGATTCTTGCAAGCTCTCAATACAAACTCGAATAATAGATCGGTACTGGCGCGAAAGTTTCAAGAACTCCACTTGATTATCCGTGGTTTTGGCAGCTTCGGCCGCTTTTTGAAGAGATATGTAAGTACCGTTTGATTCATTGACTAGTTTGCGCAAAATTGGAATGAATAACAAAATATCTTGGCGTACATCTAATATTTTATTATCTATCGATACTGGTGCTTTGCTGACTGTTTGACTGCGAGGATATATAGAAAATTTGTTCCCACTTCTAAAAACACATGCTGCGCGTTGTTCGAAACATTTATCCGGTAGAACCTGTAAAAATTGAAATGTATTCAAAACCAAACAAACATAACCTCATCGTATCAGTAAGCGAGGATACTTACAAATGTTTTCGTATTGCTATCAGCTTGAGTATTGTTCCCTCGGCTAAAACTCGACCCTTGATTGGATGTATTCATTTTATAAATGTTCTTGTAAAAGTTTCAGTTAAAAACCAGTTCTAATTTATGATTTGATTTCGACAAAATTCAACAGTTTTATTCGTTAAAATTCATTTTCGTTTGTCAAAAAAAAAGAAACGTCAATCACAATCAAACGTCAAGTCAAAATTTTTTTGTTACTTTTTTTTGGGAAGGCAAAGTGAATAAATTTTATACATTCTACAGTTTATTATATTTCGTATTTGCCTTGATTTGTATATCTTAGAATATTTATAAGAGTATACTGTATTAAGTGAATACGTATATTTATAATGAACAGGACTGATGACTAGTGAAGACCTATAATATGGATTTACCACTGTTTTTGAAAATAATAGATTTGAAAAACTCAACTCACTTGCTCGATCTTTCTTATATCTGTCCATATTAATTCATCTATTCTAGTATGGCATAAACTATATTTTTTTACTAATCTCAATTAGGGACCACTTTATTTTCCTAATTACTTTGAACTTATAACTTCATGCTTTTTACTAACGAACTAAAGCTGCTATTTCACCGGGATTATTCGCTTGTAATGTCACATTTAAGATTCTATTATGAGAGAGTGAATAATTGTTATGACAATGAGCTGTGTAATATTCAATTCAATTTATTCAATTTTGCAAGAATTTATAATCAATTAAACACCAGACTAATCGATAATGTTACAATACAGAAAAAACAAATGCTCCTGTTAAATAAATGGAGGTCATCATACAAGTTCGTAAGCTGAGTATCATTGGAGGTGTCATCATACGTTCGTAGTTCCTGAGTAGTCTTAATGTACATTGCACTTTGCCTTCCGTATGCCTATGAAAAAAAAACAAAATTGAGCATTTAATACTTTTATTTAAAAATTTAATTTCAAAACATTTCACGATAAATTAAATTATGCATTTTGCTTAATTATTATTTTTTTGTAATAATCTTAAACTTGAATAAATAAAAGTGAAAATGAATGCATGTATAAATACTATTGAAAGTGAATTGACCGGACAAAGTGTCGGAAGACATGTTGAATTTTGTCACTAATAAACGATTTGTCAATTCGTCAAAAATTGTTTTGTTTAACCAAAAATCGGACAAAATTATGCAGTAATTCTAGTGATATTGCGTTGTGCTACGAGAAAACATTATAATGTTTTATGTGTACATACTAAAAATACTAAAATAAGTTTTGAAAACGAAGTTGTCACAATCCGTTCATTGCTAATTGGTAAGTTTTGGTTGTGTCTTTATAACTGTTCCTTACTAACTTTCTGCAATATTTGGACCAAGAAAGCATTTCCTCGCCGCTCGAACGCAAAGCCATTCTCCCATGTGTAGATAAATCGCGAGTATTTTGTAGTAAATAGTAACAAGCATGACGTAGCTTCGTCGTAGGTGAGTAGAATTTAGGCCGCCAGCGCAGATAATCCTTTCTTTTAGCCAGTTGTATGTTTATACGCGGATTGTGTGGTTGTTTTGTGACGTCAAGCGTGTGTGTAGTTGGAAATTCTTTGTGCTAATGTAGTGTGATATGATAAACACTATCTCTGCTTGATAATGCTATCAAGTAGATTGCCTGTGTTCTAGACCATTATTCATGCAGAATATACAGTTTCGCCAAAATCAGTGTTCTGTTTACTGTGGAAGTGTTCCCTATAAATATCTTATTGAGTAAGTACAATACTTTGAAATACTTTCTCAGGTTAATATCAACATGAACATAAAATATGTCTCCTCAATAGGCATTGAACAAATTCAAATAATTCCTCTTTAATAAATTCTGATATGCGTATATGAGAACAATAGTGCGAGTGAGTTTACTAAAAGAAAACTACATTTTTATTAAATATAATTTTCTAACAACCAACTAAATAACATAACACCAATCCACATAGGGAGATATTTAAAAAGTATTCCTTAAAATCTCTTGAGCTAAGAAGAGTTTTGCCAAATTATGATTCCTTTTTATTATATTGACATATATTAGTTAAAATTACTTGTATTATACGAGGAAAGCATACATTATTATTTATTTTGTCAAACTTCAATGATTTGAATTATTAATTTTACAAATTTCCAATGGTTTTTCGGATGTGAAATTTTGAAAGACAGAATATTATTTCTCAATGCATATTTAAAATTTACCTTTATTTACCTCACCATATGAAACTTTGATCTTTATTACTTTATCTAAGTTATAAGTAGATGTCATTTGTGATTCATGTGCCATTATTGGTCAAACAATAGGGTATGAATTACAATTATCTTGACTTGATTGATTTGCATCGATAAACACAAGGTAATTTGTAGATAATAAATCAATATTTGGAAAAAACTTTACAAATTATCATTTTCCCTAACTGTTGATGAAGGTTGTTTTCTAATATTCGGTAGTTGCAATGTCAATGTGATAGAATTCTTCCTTTTAAATAAAACAAAACAGTATTAGTTTAAAACGTAGCTGAACGTTTGTTGGGTTAAGTTTAGAATGATAGATATTTTGTAAACTTGGTAAATTAAATCTTAATAAGAGTTTAAAGGTTCTTATTGTTATTATTGGGATCAATGACTAATATAGCCAGGGCTGGATTGCGAGGTGTGGAGACAACTTAAAAAATAAATAAAAAATAGCCTTTATTCTCTGATATAGTTATACTACTTACTAACTAGCCGTATTACTAATTTCCTATTGCTACAATTTAATTTAATTTTACATTGCTTACACTAATAAAAGAAAATTGGTAACACCAGCACTATTTTAATCAGGTTGTCCTCCTCGGACATAGGCCTCCTCTAGAATTTTCCATTTTTTCCGATCTCTTGCTAATCAGCACCATCCTTGTGGTAGGTCATCCTCCCTAAGTAAGCTAAGTAGTGGAGACAACTTAGAGTGTGTCTATTTTGAAATCAGGCACCCTAGCCCAATTACAATTTGCGAGGTTGCTTGTATAGCTTTTCCTCAGGATTTTATGAAATATATAAATTAATTATAAAAAAGATTACAGTCATATCTCTTGTTATCTATCTGTATTCTTATGTATATATATATATCTAGTAATAATATCTAGATACACTTTAATTTGATGGGAATACTGTTTTCTAATTTATCGACCTGTTCAAATCCCTTATCATTTAAAATTGTTGTGCACTTTTTATGTGAAAATAAAAATTGCTTTGTTGTCTTTTAACATAAAGTTTATTTTGATGTTTTATAGCTTGACCTGTTTAATGTTAGTACAGGAAATGGTTGCACCCCGATGGGTCATTTCCTCTCTTCCTCTAATAAACAAAGTAGGTTTAAGACCTTGACTTCTTAATTATATATTGTAACTGTTGCTAAGCAGAGTGGTGACACCATGTTTACCGTTCAATATTATGGGAGGCAATTTTAATATGATTATTTCCAAATTGGACTTATTTCTGTAACAGATTGAACTTCAGAGTGATGGGCTAATTAGTAATAATCATACTTAATATTATAGAAAACCGGCCATGTTTGTGTCGTGTCACGCCCAGTGTAGGGTACCGTAGATATTATGCCTGTAGTTACCACAATATATTTGAACAGTAGTCTTTATTTTCTATATCGGAAATTAAAATAACCGGTACTTAATTCCATTAGCTGTAATTGAATTTCGGGGTAGTTTGTAGGGGAGGGGGAGGGGGGTCTCCCCCCGCCCCCCCGCCATAAAAGATTTTTGGCGGAAATGCAGTTTTTTTAGTTAAATGCAGTGGAATTTCAGGGAGATAGGTATTAGGAAAGACCCCTCAGAGGGAAGGGTAACCCCCTCGTCCCTCCCGGCGTTTTTTTACAGAAATAATAATTATAAAAAATTAGAGGGGTTTTAAAGATAAAACTATACTTCCAGGGCCTAGAGGTGATATTTGATTTTTTTGAAGAAAAAGTCTATTAACGAATTTTTCTTTCTGGCGTTTCGCCGGCCGCTGCCGCGGCACACTCGCTTCGCTCGCTCGGCTCGCGCGTTAAGATCACAACACTAACCTAACCTAACCTAGTGTGAAGTATCACTGCGACGAACACAAACACTGACTGACAGATCACATTAATGGCGGTAAATTGTCACATTTTGACAATAGTACCAACATAATAAACTTATTTTTACCATAAACAACGAGAAACATGTTATTTTTGCATAAAAAATGGCAGCACTGATCAAAATTGCTGTCAAAATTGACTCATAACCTACAAAAATATTAATTTTCAATTTTTTTTTTTCTCGAGTTCTATTCGTTTCCGCCTAAAAAGATTTCGTGTACGTGTTTTTAATAATTAATACTTTGCGTGGCAAAAATTTCAGCTTGCAACTCAATTACAGGTAATGGAAAGCTGAGCCGAATAACCAAATAATATCAATCTATGTATCTGAACTAAAATACCTAAATCAAAGTTGATGTTAATTTGTTTTTAAATAACTATGAATACCGGAGATTTTCTGTTTGTTTCCTCCCAGGAAGCGGAGCCAGTGAGAATCCATACATATGGTAGAATAGAATTCAAGTTTGCACATTGAAATAAACAATATGTGTGCCTCTAGAGATATTCCAGGTGGATGGGATCTCCCCACGGGGGGAGTCTCCTCTCCGTCTGGAGCCTATAGACCACTCAAACCTCAGGAAGTCGGTTCAACTAGAGGGCGTCCCTGAGACTTGGACCTCGGCTTTAGTTAGCCGTTGTCGTGGGGAAAAATATTGTCGCCCGCACAACCGAGGACACAGAGACCGGACTGGACAAAAGTATGCGGGTCCCCTGATGAAAATATAACTCATGTGACTAGGCGCAGCAACGGCCATAGCGAACTTCAGTCCGATTAACAAGGTGCACCCAGTATTCTCTTTAAAAACGTCTTTTGTTTGTCTTAAACTTCAAGTTAATAGCAATACAATATTATTGACGTGGCCGAGTGGTATGAACGCCGGGTTTCAAGGTGTCGCCTACTCGAGAGATCCCGGGTTCGAGTCCCGGTGGGGACAGATGTTTGTGTGATGAATACGAGCATTTGTACTCCAGTCATGGATGTTCTATAAAAATATATATGTATTCTATCCGTTACCCTGGTATCCCATAACACAAACCTACAGTGGTGATAATTCTGGCATGATTCTCTAAACTTAAAACTAAATTTAACAGCAGTCTCTCCTTTTCTTTATGTACAGAGAATGACAAGGATACACTTTTGTCAAATTTAATTTTAGGTTTAGAGAACCATGCCAGAATCGACACCATAGCCTAGTTACTTTGGGGCTAGGTTAATTGGTGTAAGGTGTTGGAACTATTTATTGGTTTATGACACTAGCAACGTTTTGTGAGAATATTTACCTCCATAACATGCGCTTTTCTAAATTTTCGGGGTACAAATGTTCGCACATCGTTTGTTGAATCTGTGACAAATACTCGACGGACATTTTCTGCACGATTCAGGGACTTGTGTCCTCCGCGGCCAATAGTCCCTCATCTGCGCAGGCTATGATAACGGCTAAACAAGAGCCGAGGTCCAAGTCTAAGAGCCGCCCTCTAGTTGAGCCGACCTCCTCAGGTTTGAGTGGCTCCAGACGGAGAGGGCACTCCCCGCCCGGGGAGATGCCATCCGCCTGGTATACCTCTAGAAGCACTCGCCAATTCTAGGCTTGAGGTAACCTTAGGATCTCGCCGTACCCAAACCCGGTGACGCTGTAAAGGTCACCTGCGACCCACAGCATACACACATATAAATAAAAGGCTTCAGGTTCTAGTGGCTCCAGACGGAGAGGAGACTCCCCCCGCGGGTAGACGCCATTCGCCTGGAATACCTCTAGAGGCACTCGCCAATTCTCGGCTTGAGGTCCCCTTAGGATCTCGCCGTCCCCAAACCCGGTGACGCTGTAAAGGTCACCTGCGACCAACAGCATACACACTTAAAAAAAAGGCTATAACTGTTGGGTATTAGTTAATGTTGTAAACAAACTCGCATTTAGTGACATCCAGTTTACATAACTGCATTGTGCAGTTCCTTACGTCATCTGATAAAGGTTGTTTGATATGGCGCGCATTTCTGACTAAGAGGGGAGCAGACACAAAAGTGTATGGTCCGGAACCTTTGCTGCCCATACCTCAGGCCCAAATTAATACGTGGCTGCGTGAAATAACTCAGAAATCACACTTGACGGAGTGGAAAACAGGTGAAGGATGCCGGCAAAGGAAAAACGCGGTTCCGGCAGCAAATAAAAGTATTGCCCGCACCCTTACCAGACTAAATAGGGACAAACATTATAGGATCCCTGACTGGTCATTGTCCCCTAAACGAACACCTATATACAATAGGAGTAACGGACAACCCCCTATGCAGAGGATGCATGGAGGCAGAGGAAACGCCACAGCATGTCATCATGGAATGCAGGAGTGTGGCCGACCAACGGGCACGACTTCTCCAGTCACCAGAATCGTTTCCGGAAGCTTGCAGCAGTCTACCAAGGTTGCTTTCCTTCTGGACCTATATAGGGTGGCTGGAGTAAACGGGAATGTTTTTGAGACACGCACAATGGTCCAATAATTAGGACTAAGTGCGGAAACCGCCCTGAAGAACTAACTAACACACTTATAACAAAAAGGCTATAACTGTTGGTTATTAGTTAAGGTTGTAAACAGTGTTTCCACAATGAGGGGAAATTCCCCT